AACAAATCAACAGACAACTGTTGGAGAGGGTGTGGAAAAAGGGAACCCTAGTGCACTGTTTGTGGGAATGCAGACTAGTGCCGCCACTATGGAAAACAGTATGGAATTTCCTCATAAAACTAAAAATGGATCTGCCTTTTGACCCAGTAATTCCACTGCTGGAATTATACTCTAAGAGCCCTCAAACACCAGTTTAGAAGAACCTATGCACCCCAATGTTCACAACAGTATGATTTGCAATAGCCAAGTGCTTAAAGCAACTTAAGTGCCCATCAATAAATGAATGGATCAAAAAACTATAGTACATTTACACAATGGAATTCTATGCATCAGAAAGAAATAAGGAGCTTCTACCCTGTGCAACAGCATGGATGTAACTGGAAAGCATTATGCTAAGCGAAATAAGCCAAGTGGTGAAAGACAAATACCATATGATCTCACCTTTAACAGGAACCTAAACAACAAAACAAACAAACAAGCAAAATATAACCAGACACTGAAATAGAGAACAGACTGACAGAGTTCAGAGGGGAGAGAAGAAGGAATTTCAGGGGAATTTCAGGGGAAAAGGGGAACAGTATATAGGAACAAGTATAAAGGGCACATGGATAAAAACTAGGGGTGGATGGAAATGGGAAGGAGGAAGGGAGGGCTGGGTGGGTGGGTTGGGATGGCAGTAAAAGATAGAAAATTATACTGCAACAACAATTTAAATAAAATTTAAAAATTAAATTAAATTTTTAAAAAACTATGATACATTTACACAGTGGAATTCTATGCAGCAGAGAGAAAGAGGGAGCTCCTATCCTTTGAGACAACATGAATGGAACTGGAGAGCATTATGCTAAGTAAAATAAGCCAAGCAGAGAGGGATAAATATCATATGATCTCACCTTTAACTGGAGCATAATCAACAAAAGAAAACAGCAAACAGAATATAACCAGAGACATTGAAATTATGAACAATCTAACAATACCCAGAGGGGAGGGGGAGGGAACTGTGGGGAGAAGGTATTTCAGGACTAACTATAAAGGACACATGGACAAAACCAAGGGGGAGGGTGGAAGCAAAGGGGGAAGGTGGGTTTGGTTGGGCTGGGGTGGAGTGGTGGCGAGAAAATGCAGACAACTGTAATTGAACAACAATAAAGTAATTTATGGAAAAAACAGTTATATGGAAACATAAACGATCCCTAATAGCTGCATCAATTTTGAGAAAGAAGAACAAAGTAGGAGGGATCACAATACCTGATATCAAACTGTATTACCAGGTCACTCTAATCAACACAGCCTGGTACTGGCACAAGAACAGACACAGAGAACAGTGAAACAGAATAGAGAGCCCAGAAATAAACCCAAGTCTCTATGGTCAATGAATATTCGGCAGAAAGGCAGAAGCATAAAATGGAGTAAAAGTAGCATCTTCAATAGGCGGTGTTGAAAGACCTGGACAGCTACATGCGAGGAAACTCAATCACCAACTTACACCATGCACAAAAATAAATTCAAGGTGGGTAAAAGACTTAAATATAAGTCATGACACCATGAAAGTCTTAGAGGAAAACATAGGCAGGAGAATCTCAGATATTCCACATAGCAATATTTTCACCAATATGTCCCCTAGAGCAAGGGACATAAAAGAATAAACAAATGGGATCTCATCAAAATAAAAAGCTTATGAATGGCTAAAGACAGTAGCATTAAAATGAAAAGAAGACCAACTGTATGGGAAACCATATTTGCCAATGATACCTCAGACAAGGGTTTGATCTCCAAAATATATAAAGAACTCACACTACTACACTCCAGGAAGATAAACATCCCAATTAAAAAATGGCAAAAGACCTGAGCAGACACTTCTCCAAGAAGAACATGCAGACGACCCAGAGACATATGAAAAGATGCTCAGCATCACTAGCCATCAGAGAGATGCAAATTGAAACCACAATGAGATACCACCTCACACTGGTCAAAATGGTTTTCATAAACAAATCAACAAACAAGTGTTGGAGAGGATGAGAAAAGGGAACCCTAGTACACTGTTGGTGGGAATGCAGACTGGTGCAGCCACTGTGGAAAACATTATGGAATTTTTTCAGAAAATTAAAAATGAAACTGCCTTTTGATCCAGCAATTCCACTGCCAGGATTACATCTTAAGAACCCTGAAACACCAATCCAAAGAACCTATGCACCCCATTGTTCAATGCACAATTGGTGCACAATTTATGATAGCCAAGTGCTGGAAGCAACCTCAGTGCCCATCTATAAATGAATGGATCAGAAAACTATGGTACATTACACAATGGAATACTACATAGCAGAAAGAAAGAAGAAGCTCCTACCCTTTGCAACGACATGGATGGAAAGTGATAGCATCATTCTATGTGAAATGAGCCAGACAGTGAAAAACAAATACCATATGATCTCACCTTTCAGTGGAACATAATCAACAAAATAAACAAGCAAGCAAAATATAACCACAGACATTGAAATTAAGAACAATCTGACAGTAACCAAAGGGGAGATGGGAGGGGATAATGGGGGAATGGGGGAAATGGATTTCAGTACTAACTATAAAGGTCACATAGACAAAACTAACAAAACCAGGGGGGAATAGGATTGGGAGAGGGAGGGAGATATGGATGCAGTGGTGGGGAGTAGTGGTTGGGAGAAAATGCAGATAACTGTGCTTGAACAATAAAATTAAATTTAAAAAATTCACTGAAGCCAAAGGCAGTGTCTCCCAACAGTGCCAGCTGATATATTGATAGAGATGGGTTCCTAGAACCCTCAGCTAGTGGGGAAGCTTGTATTACATGGACCCATCCTCCAAAAGATATTTCTGGTGTTTGGGGAATCAACCCCTTGTAGACATAGAGACAATCCAATACTGGAAATGAGCTCCTCATTGCATTGTTAATTGTGTAGAAACTACAATAAATGAAAGGAGTATGTGGGCTTTTTTTTATATAGATCAAGTCCAACAAAGACTTGAAGCTACATATGAAACTACAGCCATGTTTACTAAACGGGGCTTTCAAAGATTGAAACTCAGAATTTCCAATCTGTGTAACAGCAGATAGAAGTGCAGTCCATGGAGCAGGCTCAGGCAGTGTCAGGGTGGGATCTGTGATTCCAGAGAGGGATGGGTCAGGATTGGTGCTGGGTGGGGCCTGGGGCCTACTTGTACCACCACACCCAACCCCACCAACTCAATTACAATGATCCCTCACCTATCTCAGGGGTTATGTTCCAGAGACCCCCGAGATAGGTGAAAATCTGAGAAGTAGCGGTGTTATATTTATTATTTATATATATTTTAAGGCTTTATAAACCCTTCCCACACTCCTATAAACCTTTTCCACTCTCTTATTAACCTTTCCCACACTCTTATAAATACTTCATATGCTCTTAAACACTTTCTACACTCTTAAACCTACATAATTTTAGCAACATATAAAATTCTATATGGGTACTCACCAGTGAAGTATACTACAACTTGAATGATGAAGATTATGAATTATGTAGCTGTGCAGTACTGATGGCGATGAAGGTGAGGATGATGAGATGAGTGTACTGCACAGCCAAGAAGAGCATTACAGCTCTTCTGAAGGCATCACTTCATCAGGGGCTTCATCAGGTGGTGCAATATCTTCACCCTGGGCCGAAACTTCTATTTCCACTAAAGGCGTAGGCGTAACTGATCTCTTCCTCCGAGTGATGAACATAGTTATGGGAAGCTGCTGGCACTACTTTTTATCCACAGAGGCAGCTTCTCCATGCAGAGAAACACTCTTGAGTCCAAAGCATCTCTGAAATTTGTCAAACCATTTGCTAGCACTGAATGGAGTTTGTCTCGTGGGAGAAGCACTCGATGGCCCTGCTTCTGTATCGTTGTCTTCATCTTCGCCCTCGTCACCATCATGAATGTCCATGCTTTCTGCAAAACTATCTAAAGTTTTTTGGCCTTCATCCAGATAGTGTTGGTGTCCAGCGAGATATTCTTCTTTCTGCAGTCATTTATCCACAGGACCAATCCAGACTCCATCCTCACTATGGCCTTATTGAGGGAAGTGACCATCCTTTTTGCAGTCTTGTTAAAAGTCATTCTTGCCATAGACCTAATATACTTCTCATCTTCCTTTACGTAGTGAACAGTAGATTCATTGATCCCGTAATGGCAGCCTACAGCCATGTAGCTTTTGCCTTCCTTTAACATGTCGAGAAGTTCCACCTTTTCTTTCATGGTAAGCATATTCCTCTGGTGCTTGGGTTCACTGCCAGAAGCCTTAGAAGGTGCAGAATGTTTGGGTGGCATTGTAGGGCTTGAAATAATTTCAAACTTTTATGAAAATTTCACAAAAACATAACACTGCATACCAACACTATGTGCAGAGATGAGACGTCGATGTGAAGTGGACAAGGAGAGATGCTGAACACATGGGCACAGTGCAGGAGAGCAAACAGACAGATGCTACAGTCACTGAGTCAGTCAGCACCCAGGATACAGAACACAGTTCTGTGGTTGGTTGCCTTCCATTCATCAGCCAAGTGTGTGCCATATACAATCTCATGTTGGCAAACTTTTGCAAGCAGTAGTGGCGTACTGCATTTCCATTGTGTACAGTATGGTATTCATTTATTGGTGAAATACATGCTGTATTTTATTTTGATTTAATATTCTTTTAATATGTTTGAATTAACACTTTTTATATTTTTATATTGTTTTAAATTTTTAGGCAAAAATAATTAAAATCATAAATATTATATAAATACCTATATACCACAAAATCCCATGATAGAGTGAAAACTCCATGATACAGAATTAGATATATTTTTTTAAAAACACCTGTAATACAGTGAAGCCACAATAAGTGAACCACGATATAGTGAGGAATGACTGTACATGGCCCAGGCATTTGGAGTCTCACAATGCAGGGAGTGCTGACCAGGTGTGTCTTCATCTGCCTGGGGACAGCAGGCTGTGAGATGACTAGAATGGCCTGGTGAAAAGCCTGGGTAAGTGTGGAGCAAGCAGAATCAGAGAGATTTTGCAGTGTTGAGAGTTTGGGAAGAGGGATCAGCTCAGTCAATACTTGCTGCTGCCTTCCAGACCAAGCCCTGTACTGCCTACTGGGAAGGAATACAGGAAGAAACTGCCTCACCCTAGAAGTGCTCACACCAGAGACAAAGGCAGGTGAAACAGGCAGATAAAGGACCCTTGAAATGTACAGGGAGATGGGAGAACTCAGAGAGCGAATCCCTTCTGGGAGAGGTCAGTCTGCTCAAAGTTAGGGGGTATCATGGTTGAGCCATATATATATGTGCAGTGTATGTGCACATGTGTATGTTAGGAAGAATCAAACAGTGGTCCCTTGCAAAGGAAGTAGTGTGTGCAAAACCCCAGAAGGGTGGGAAGCTTGGCTTTGGAGGGAAATAGCTTAAGGGCCTTGGCAGGAAGGTCAAAGAGTAAGGGAAATGTACCTAGGGAAGCAGGCAGAACTGGGTACCAAGGGTCTCATATGGCAATCTAAGGAGCTCAGATTTTACCTTAAGAGCAATGGGGAGCATTGAAAGGCCTTTAGCTGGAGAGTAACCTGATTGAATAAGTTGATACTAGAGGGCTCATCAATGGCTACTCTTGGGGCCTGGGTGGGTGGGTTAGTCTCCAGGAAACAAGGGTTTATTTTATTTGTTAGGATTGAGGAGGGAAGAGTGGTGGTTGGAAGATCTAGCCCACAGGGGTCTTGCTTGGCTGAAGTCCATGCTTTATAAGAGACCTAGAGCAGAGGTAGGGAGAACAGCACAACCTGTCCCCAAGTCACCCATGTCCCAGCTGAATTAACAGATTCCCAGGAATGTTTAAGTCCAAAGCTATCTTGTGCTAAGGAGTTGAAAACACAAAAGGAAGACCAAGACAATGAGCAAATGACATCCCCTAAACAGGCATGATGCTGCAAGCTCTGCATACCTTGCTTCATTTTGTCCCCAGGCATCCTGGGATGTTAGAACTGCTCTTTCCATTGTATAGATTAAAAAACTGAGTCTCAGAGACACTGGGTTACTTGCTGAACCCCACAGCTAGCAGGCAGAGGCATAGCTAAAACTCAGGTCTCTTCACCTCTATCCTCAGGCTCTCTGTGAGCCTTACTAGAATCAGGCTTATCCTGCTTCAGGAAATCTCTTTGTCCCAATTATCACAACCCAGTGGCCTTAGGTTCAGACATACTAGACAGACAGAACAGTGAGGACAACAAGGTCAAGGTGGGGCAGCTGTATGGCCTCGAACAAAGCAGCCAGAACAGGCCAAGGGGCCAGTTTTGTCTCAGGTGGTGGGAAAAAGCCTTTGGGGATGCAGATGTGTCAGGGAGAGCCCAGTACTAGGCACTTTCCAAAATCACCTGCTGGCCCAAGTGAACTGATTCTGGGCCTTGCTCCCAGTGGGGCAAGAACAAAGGCCCATCCTTGGGACCCTACTCAGCTAGGCAGGCAGAAGTTCCCTTCTAAGAACCCGGTCAACCTGGCATTATAACATGACATTTGCTGAGCAACTACAATGTGCCAGACATTCTTCTAACCACTTCACACTCAATATCTCACTTGAGCCTCATACCACCTCTACAATGTAGATATCAGTTACCTTGTCCACAGATGAGGAAACTGAGGCATCAGGAAGATAAGCACCAGTTTATCCTTACTAGTAAGTGAGGTTGCCACACTAGTGAGTGTTAGAATCTGGGTTAGAATCTGAGCAGCCTCACTCCAGAGCCCAATGTCTTTAGGCCTTGGCTACCCATCTAGAAGAGCTGGCTTGTGGCAGCAAGATTGCAGGTAGACCCCACCTAAGACTATCTGAGCTACCAGTGAAGACCAGGTGTCCTCTGGACACCAAGCTGGACTAGGACTGGGAACAGAGGAAGATGAAAGATCAGCTTGGAGGCATGGGGGATGGGGTATGCATCTGGGCATCTATGCCTTCTTACAGAGCCAAAGTTCTACCTCCCAGGTCATAATGACAGAAGGCAAAGACATGGAAGTTCCCCTGTGATGACCATAAAATGTGTTACAGATATAGAGTCACAGGCTGGACTGAGTCACATTTTCAGTGAAAATGTTCCTGTCTGGACCTGCTTACACCAGGCAAGACCCAGCAGGACCCTTGGCAGAACCTTCTTCCAACAGTGAGGCCGGGGGTGGGTTTCAGGTAAGAAAACTTGGAACTCTATTGGTCCATGCAGATATCCAGGCATCTGATTCCAAGAAAATTGTCCTTTCTTCCCCTAAAACCATGAAGTATAAAGTGAGGCTGATGCTTCTCAATGCAGTGAAATCACAACAGCCTAGGAAGCTATTTACAAATAGTGCCTCAGACCTGCTGAATGGGTCACTCCACTGTGACATATGGCCTGGTCAGTCACTGCTACACAGACAGCCCCTTGAGTCCCAGCATGGGGGCAGAAGAAAGTCCCTCCTGGGTGGCACCCAGAGCTCAACACTGAGAGCTCAGAGGCCCTCCAAACTCCCAGAAGACCTGCATTCCTCTGTCCCATTCCTTTAGTGATGAGTTTCAGGAAGACTCATTGTCTGCAAAAGTTTGAGTTTTTGATAGAGTGGATGAGGTAAACAGAGCTCAGCTTCTTAGTTAGCCTGTGGGTTAACTCCTTGGCACTATCACTTACTAGCTGTGTAACTTCAACAAGTTTTCTGAGTCCAGCTTCTCTGCCTATAAAATGGGGCATTCATGTTAACCTAGTGCAACTGTCAAGATAAACCGAAGAGAAGACCACTGCATCTATAGCATCTAAAGCATCTAACTTGCAGAGCTTGGCACATGGAAGGTGCTCAAATTACTAATAGTGGTAACAGCAGCTAATGACTCCACAAACAAGAGATGTATAGTTGGGCAACATCTGGGACTGCATAGGCTCTCTGGATGGAATTGTTAGGGATGGGGACAAACATATCTGAGTCAAGAGGCTCTCTTCCCTGCTTTGGTTCTTGTCTCACCAAGAGACTATTCTCTTGCCTCACCAAGAGGCTACTCCTGCAAGAGAATGATTCAAGTGAGGGACAAGTACATATAATGGAAATGAGCTAGCAGGTGTATTTATGAAACACATATGGGCACAAAGCTGCAAGCAAGCACTGATAAAGCTGTTAATAAGTTTGTTAGTAAGTTTTTTAATAAGCTTGTTGTATACACTTAAGTGGGTACTCAGCTAATCTAAGTACACCAACTATTGAGGTTCAGGGGTTATATACTTTAGTCAGCTTCTAAGTTCCCCCTCCTTCTCTTCTTACTAAATATTGGGAATAATATGCAGCCACAAAGGCATTTTTTCTTAGTTAGTAAAGGTTCTCTGCTTTACTTAGTGAAATAGTTACAGAAGCTCCTTTTCCCAGTATAGGCCTCCCTCTTCCTCCTGTGCAATTCCTGCCTGTGATGTTCAGAATACCAGGCAACCTTAGTAAGATTGTTACAGAAGCCCTTTTTCTCCACACAGTCTCCCTTCCTCCTATGCTAATTTGCTTGTAATGCTCCGGACACCCAGAAATCTTATCAAACTGAGCTAAGTACTGCTGAGTTGATGGATGAGACATGTCTTCATTTTGCTTCTAGCCTCCTGTATTAAGTTCTCTGTTAGATTGTAATGGCAAGGGCCTTGGCTTTATTTCTCCTCTGGCCACTCATTCCTAGCTGCTACCTAACAGAATTCCCACAAGGAATCATTTCTAATAATTTCTGCTATAATTTCTGCTAATTATATATATATAATGCTGAGAAATGAGATGAGAAAATCTGTCACCAGAGATTTGAAATTCAAGCAAAGTACATGAAATGAATGGCTTCTTACCTCTTACTCAAAATAAATATCCTTATAGCTGTACTATGGATGGGAATCTGCTCTGTATTTTCAGGATCTAACCCAGGGATTGGATGGAAGGGTAGATAAATAGATAGACATTACAAATGGAAGGAAGGAACGGTAGATGACTAGATGGATAGAAGGATGATGGAAGGAAGGGTGGATGGATGGATAGATAGATAGATAGATAGATAGATAGATACATGGATGGGTGAAAGGATAAATGAAAAAGGAAGGAAGGAGGGAAGGAAGGAAGGAAGGAAGGAAGGAAGGAAGGAAGGAAGGAAGGAAGGAAGGAAGGAAGGAAGGAAGGAAGGGAGTGGTCAGATATCTGGGTGGAGAATGGTTGAATAGATGAATGAATGAGTGGGTTGGTGGTAGGTGGGGGAGTAGATGAGTGGGATAGGAGCATATAGAATGAGTAAGTGAAGAGGTGAGTGGAAGACCAAATGCAATGGGACTAAACTCCCTTCTATTTGAAGGCTCTCTGAGTGTCCCTCATACTCAATGCCTATCACCAATCTCCTCCACTCCTCTACCAAAAACACTACTTAAGAGGATCAGTCATTTGCATCTAAGAAACTCTGTAGGACAAAAGTCTAAAGAGCCCTTAAGCAAGCCCTGGATTACAGATTTGGACGTCAAGGACCCAGGTACTTTGGTTATCTGCTTTATTTCACAATTTTCAGAGCATTGTGCAGTTCTTTCTAAACCTAACCCTCTGCCTGCATGAGTCTGTAGATTTTGCAAAGGCCCTGACCTGTCACAGTGCTCAGCTGGGTGTGCTGGATCTCTATCTTCTTGCAAGTACCCACTTATCAGGAAGCAAGCAGGCTGAGTTCAAACCACACCTGGCTTCCCAGTTTCACCTGCCACTCTACAGGCAGTGTTGAGCTCCATGAAGCCTGTCATTACTTGCTCATTGTTCTTGTAGCTTTGGGTGGGCTTATCCCTTCCTGCTACCTGTCAGTGGTGCTAGGGGCAGCTGAGGGGAGCTGGGCCTGCTGCCTTCTCTCAGATGGCATTGACTAGGAGAGGCACAACCTGATCAGAGACCACACCCCAGGGCAGGGACAGGAGGGATTTAGTGGCTTCTCCCTGCGAGCTGTGGCTCTGGCTGGTGCCAGCCTTTTAATCAAGGGGCCATTCTGTGGAGAAGATATGGCAATTCCACAAAGCCCAGCAGGGAACCATCAAACTTTCACAGCCAGACCAGACAGGGCACATTCTCTTAGGGTGCCTCCTTGTCAAGAAATTTCCTACACAGCTGATGTGCTCTATAGACCCACCTAAACCCAGGAAAGTCGCTTCCCACAGGATGCAGTGCAATCCCCCTTCTCTTGTACCCCTAAGCTCACAGCCTGAAATGGGGGGGCCTGCCCCCCATTTCTCCTCCCAAGCTTCCATCACCCAAGGAATCTTTGCTAGTCTCTGGAATCTCATCACAAAAGGCCTAGGAACAGCCCTGGAAAGAAGGTTAAGGGAGGGAAAACAGCAGGTACAGCCAGGACACTTCTGAAGACAACAAGGTGCTAGGGAACACACACGTTTTTTGTGCTGTCACCCTGATAAAAACACTGTTGAACTCTGAAGCCCATGCTGGTTCTTTCTCAGGCCAGGCCCTCTCTCCCTTCTCTACAATCTCTCACCAGCCCTCCCTAGTGCTATCCCATGACTTTTTCCTGATTCTTCTCTCTTTCCAACACCAAAGGCTACCACCAAGGCTCTAGACCCTCTTCTTCCGGCCCACACGGTAAGTATGGGAACTCTGGGAATGGCCACAGTGGCCACCTTCAAAGTCTTTGCCTGTATTGTCCAAGTCTCCAAACCCTGACCCCTCAAAGCTGGAACTGGCTCTGAGAGCTGGGATTCCATCTCTCAGGATGGCAGAGAGGTGCTAACTAGCTTGGCCCTGCCTCACTCCTCTTTAAAAGGCCTCTCCCTCCAACCTGAGGGCTCTCAACCAATACAGCTTCTGCAGCCCTGAGGTCAAAGGGCCTTATGGCAACTTGGTGTAGAGTGGAAACTGTTATATCAAAAAGCTGCTGCCCTGGACCAAGAAGAACCCCTCAGTCCTCCCCTTACCCAGGTGGTCAGGCAGGAGGAATCAAGTCAGGCAGGATCAGGGAGGAATGGAGACTCAGCCACTAGCTACAGGAACCCTGCTAGATTTCACCTACCAAGGCAGGCTGCAAAGAAGGCCAGGAGCCTGGGATGCCCTCCCAACTTTCCTACTTTGAGCAGGCCTGAGTTCTCTTGCAGATTGAACAGGAGGGTATCTCAGTGACAGGCAGCCCACATTTCAACCCAGACCCCAACATGGATACCCTCTACAAAGCCATGAAGAGAATTGGTGAGTGGGCACCTGAGGCCTTGCCCCAGGAATGCTATGAGTCTCTGGGATTCTGCCTACTCTGCTCAAGACCCCTCTACTCATATCCCTGAGGAAAAATGCCAGGAACATCCCAGGGTTTAGAGTGTCCACAAAAGCCCCTGGGACTGACTCCTAGCACCCAGAGAATCATCACACAGGCCCCACCTTCCCCAGCTCTGGTCTACACATACCCCTGAGACACAAGGGGGAGGGCAGTTGTGGCCTCCCTGAGTAATGGAGGTGCAGATGCAGAGGTGGTCTGCTGTGTGAGCCTGCATGTCCTTACGCAAGCAACCCCACCCTGATAGATCTGAGCTTTCTCACTCCCAAATGACCCCAAGCACTTTGGACCCTGTGTGTCACTGTGAATTTTGGATGAGATGATGTTGTGAGTGTTGTGGGGCTGAAATGGGCCCAAGGGGCAGGACATAGAGGTTTTTCAGCTTTTCCTTGCCCCACTTACCCTGCCAGCCTGTGGTGTCTGCATTCCCTCCTAAACCAATAGCATTTCTACACTCTAGCCCAGAAGGCCCTCATGCCATCACCCCAGGCCAAATTTACTCCCTACCTCACTTTGGTAACTGAGGCATCAACAAGAGCTACCATTTTCTATTCTAACCCACCATGTTGATGTCCTCTACTTCCTGTGAAATCTTTATTATCTCTACTTCCCAAAGAATAAAATGGAAGCTTAGAGAGGTGAGTCAGCTTGCCACTGGGCTATTGGACCAGAACTCAGATCCAATTTTCTGGACCCTCAGTACTGACCTTTCCCCATTGCCACTAGCACAAGTGAGGTCAGGGCAGGAGGTCTTGCTGATAAAACTCAAGGCCCCAGGCAATATCCAGAGCAGATCAGATGACTAGAGGGTCCTCAGATTATATCACTGTAAGGCTGAGGCTTGGCTGTACCCACCATTTTGTGGGTGTGGGTGGGAAAAGGACAGGTGGATTTTCTGTCTAGATGTCTTATCTACACTTTGAGAATCAGGTTTTGAAGCTATCCAGATGGTATGTCCCCAGTGCTTGGCCACCAGGCTGTTGCCTTCCCTTCTCCCCAGCTTTTATCAGGCCTCCTTGAAGAAGTGAAGATGCTCACACTGTGCACCCCTGCAGGGACCAACTAGCAGGCCATCAACGTGCTCACGAGGAGAAGCAATGTATATCGGCCTCAAATTGCTGAGTCCTTCAAAGCTCAGCTAGGCAAGGTACCAGAGAGACTGAAGGGGATGGGTGCAGGTGTGGTGGGGCACTAGAGGCCTGCTGCTGCCAGAGACAACCTAGGAGGCAGTTCTATGCTGGATCAGGCCCTTCCCTGGAGGCCAGCCCACTGGAACATGGGGCATGTGGGACATACTTGTCAACAGAAAGAACCTGAACCTTGAAAATACTAGGTTTTTTATTTACAGCCTTGCTTGAAGGTCTACAAAGCCTCTACAAAGCCATGAAGAGAATTGGTGAGTGGGCACCTGAGGCCTTGCCCCAGGAATACTATGAGTCTCTGGGGTTCTGCCTGCTCTGCTCAAGACCCCTCTGCTCATATCCCTGAGGAAAAATGCCAGGAACAGCCCAGGGTTTAGGGTGTCCACAAAAGCCCCTGGGACTGACTCCTAGCACCCAGAGAATCATCACACAGGCCCCATCTTCCCATTAAAGAAGAGTTTCAAGAAGCCTTGAAACAATGCTCTAACTCCTGGAAAGTGGAGCTGAGGGGTTTCTATACAGGCAGAGGATTAAAAAAAAAGTCCATCTGTCTCATTAGAAGTTTCAATCAGGATACACACGGTTCTATATGCAATGGAAGGAATGTGTAGAGAAGATAAGTTTGAGTTGCTGTGCCCACAGAAGTCAGAAAATTTTAATTCGGATCTGGAAACAAATTTTTTGAAACTGCTCAAGGTGATTTTTATCAGATGTAGAAAGAACAGATACTGTTATCTATATCAGTTGATCTTCAGTATTTGAAACTGTATTCATATATATGATTACCCGCCATGGTTCTCACCTTAGTAAAAAAATTTGGGAGAGCTCATTGCTCTCTCTCTCTCTTTAAAAAAAAAAAAAAAGACTTAGCCCTGGCTGGTGTAGCTCAGTGGATTGAGCACAGGCTGCGAACCAAAGCATTTCAGGTTTGATTCCCAGTCAGGGCACATGCCTGGGTTGCAGGCCATGGTCCCCAGCAACCGCACATTGATGTTTCTCTCTCTCTCTCTCTTTCTCCCTCCTTTCTCTCTCTAAAAATAAATAAATAAAATCTTTTTTAAAGACTTTATTTATTTATTTATTTATTTATTTTTAGAGGGGGGAGGGAGAAAGAGGAGAGAAACATCGATGGTGTGTGAAACATCAATAATGTGCAAAATATCGATGTGCGAAACATCTACTGGATGCCTATTGCCAACCCCCTATTGCCAATCAGGGACCTGGCTCCCAACCCACACCTGTGACCTGACCAGGAATTGAACCAGCAAACTGCTTTTGGTTTGTGGGATATTGCCCAACCCACTGAGCCATGCAAGTCAAGGCTCATTGTTCTCTTTTGGCTACTGATCAAGTCAGAGAAGTGGAAGCACTGTTTCCTTTCTCATACTTATGCTAAAAAAATGATGAATTATGTATCTGAAATTCAAATGTAACCAGCCTCCTGTGTTTTATCTGGAAAACTTACTTAGGTTCCCCACACCCTGGTCTACTGGCCAGCCTTCTGTTGTCCGACCCGCCTGCCTTTCTCACCTTCTCACCCACTTTGCTCCTTCACATTTTTCCCTGACTCCATCCATGAGCTGCTTCCCTGCCTCTGTGCTTTGTTTGTCCTGTTTCTGAGATTGGAATGACCTCTTTCACATGTGCCGTGCAGAAGACAGAAGACATGGGAGCGACTCCGCTCTGTCTAGGGCATGAGCATTCACCTCTCATTGACTTTCCTTCTGCATGGGAACTCTATAGAACAGCATGGAGCCTTTTCCTCTCCTCCCAACTTCCACTACCCCCAGGAAAAAGCCAGGCATTAGGATGCTAGGTAAACACAGGAATAAATGCTCACGTAGCCATGGTTGCTGGAAGCCTCCATCGGCACACATCATTAACTTGGAGATTTAAAACAAGGAGATAAGTGATGAAGCCCAAACATTTCATGGAAGAAATCAATGTGCTTTTATTTTTATATTAATGTTTTTATTGTTGTTCAAGTACAGTACTCTCCTCTTTCCCCCTAAACCTTCCCCCAACCCCAGCCATCCCCACCTCCCACCCTCAATCTTATGACCCTTTGGTTTTGTCCAAGTGTCCTTTATACATGCTCCTGAAAAAAACCCTTCCCCTTTTCCCTGCTTTATCCCCTCAAACCTCCCCTCTGGTTACTGTCAGTTAGTTCTTTATTTCACTGTATCTAGTTATATTTTGCTTGCTTGTTTTACTAGTTGATTAGAAGTTATAGGTCAGATCATATGGTATTTGTCTTTCACTGCCTGGCTTATTTCGCTTAGCATAATGCTCTTCAGATCCATCCATGCTGTTACAAAGGGTAGGAGCTCCTTCATTCCTCTCTGCTGTGTAGTATTCCATCTTGTAAATGTACCATAGTTTTTTGATCCATTCATTTACAGATGGACACTTAGGTTGCTTCCAGCACTTGGCTAATGTAAATTGTGCTGCTATGAACATTGGGGTGCATAGCTTCTTTTGAATTGGTGTTTCAGGGTTCTTAGGATATAATCCCAGCAGTGGAATTGCCAGGCCTAAAGGAAGGTCCATTTTTAGTTTTTTGAGGAAATCCCATACTGTTTTCCACAGTGGCAGCACCAGTCTGTATTCCCATCAACAGTGTACTAAGGTTCCCTTTTCTCCACATCCTCTCCAATACTTGTTGTTTGTTGATTTGTTTATGATGGCCATTGTGACCAGTGTGAAGTGGTATATCATTGTGGTTTTAATTTTCATCTCTCTAATGGCTAGTGATGTTGGCATCTTTTTGTATGCCCCTGGGTCCTTTTATGGCCTCCTTGGAGAAGTGTCTGTTCAAGTCCTTTGCCCATTTTTAAATGGGTTATCTTCCTAGAGTGGAATTGTGTGAGTTCTTTATATATTTTGGAGATAAAACCCTTGTCTGAGATATCATTGGCAAATATGGTTTCCTTTACAGTTTGTTCTCTTTTCAACTTAATGCTATTTTCTTTAGCCATGCAGAAGCTTTTTATTTTGATGAGATTCCATTTGTTTATTCTTTCCTTTATGTCCTTTGCTCTACAGGACAAATTGGTGAAAATATTGCTTTGTGGAATATCTGAGATTCTCCTGCCTATGTTTTCCTCTAGGACTTTCATGGTGTCATGACTTACATTCAAGTTTTTTACCCACCTTGAATTTATTTTTTTGTATGGTATAAGTTAATCAAGTTTCTTTCTTTCTCTTTTTTTTTTATTTTTTTGCATGTAGCTGTCCAGCTCTCCCAACATCATTTGTTTAAGAGGCTATTTTTTGACTCTCAGCAAGATGGAGGCATAGGTGGATGCACCGTACCTCCACACACAACCAAGATTAGAACAACAACAATTTAGAGGCAGAATAACACCCAGAACTGATAGAGAATTTATCTGAATGGAAGTCGGACAGCCAAGAAGTTGAAGTAGACCCGTTCATCCAGACCGGTAAGAGGGGCAGAGAGGAGGAGCAGGCATGGGTCTTGGCGCTCAGAGATCGGGGAGAACTGGGTGCAAAAGGCAACTGGGAGTGCGTAAGCCTTCCAGGATGTGCAAGATTGCAGTGGTGGACCCTGAGTACACAAGCGGCAGCTGGCGGACCCAGTGAGGCAGCACTGTGGACCAGGGCAGAGCATGCAACCCAGGATCCCGGGGGGGTACTGAGGCCCCAGGAGAGTGGAGCTACTGCCATTGTTCCCTCCTGCCCCCACATACAACGTCACAATCTAGTGACTGGGGTGCCCAGCCCCAGGGAACACCTAAGGCTCCACCCCTCACCGTAACAAGACCGACCAGACCGGGGAAAAAATAAAAAGGAGAAAGAGAGAGAGACATGTCTCCAACAGAAGAACAGATCAATCCCCCAGGGCTCATCCTTTTGAGTGACTAAGAGATAGCCAGTCTATCAGATGCACAGTTCAAAATACTGGTGATCAGGAAGCTCACGAAATTGGTTGATTTTGGTTGCAAATTACATGAAAAAAATGCAGGTTACCATAAAAGAGATGAAGGAAGATGCACGGAGAACCAATAGTGAAGGGAAGGAAACTGGGACTCAAAACAATAGAGTGGATCAGAAGGGAAAAAAAAAAAAACAACCAAGCAGGAAAGAATGAAGAAATAAGAATTCAAAAAAATGAGGAGAAGCTTAGGAACCTCCAGGACGTCTTTAAACATTCCAACATCCAAATTATAGGGGTACCAGAAGGGGAAGAGGAAAAGCAACAGATTGAGCACATATTTGAACAAATAATAAAGGAGAACTTCCCCATTCTGGCAAAGGAAATAGACTTCCAGGAAATCCAGGAAGCTCAGAGAGCCCCAAAGAAGTTGGACCCAAGAAGAAACACACCAAGGCACATCATGATTGCATTAGCCAAGGTAAAAATGAAGGAGAGAATCCTAGAAGCAGCAGGAGATAAGGGGACAGTCACCTACAAAGGAGTTCCCATCAGAATGTCAGCTTATTTCTCAAAAGATACCTTACAGGCAAGAAGGGGCTGGAAAGAAATATTCCAAGTCATGAAAGACAAGGACCTACATCCCAGATTGCTCTATCCAGCAAAGCTCTCATTTAGAATGGAAGGGAAGATAAAGTACTTCTCAGATAAGGTCAAGTTAAAGGAGTTCATCATCAACAAGCCCTTATTTTATGAAATGTTAAAGGGACTTATCCCTTTAGAAAAGAAAAGAAAAGAAAGAAAAAACATGTATAGTAAAAGGACAGCAAACTCACAATTATGAACAACCACACCTAAAGCAAAACCAAAGAAACTAAGCAAACAACTAGAACAGGAACAGAACCACAGAAATGGAGATCACATGGAGGGTTAGCAACAGGGGAGTGGGAGGAGGAGAGAGGGGGAAAAGGTTCAGAGAATAAGTAGCATAGAATGTAGGCTGAAAGTAGATAGGGGAGTAAGAATAGTATGGGAAATGTAGAAGCTAAAGAACTTATAAGTATGACACATGGACATGACTAAAGGGGGAATATGGGTGGGAGAGGGTGT